TTTTCTCTGGGTGCTCTGGTTTCCCCCATAAGTCCAAAGACATGTGGTACAGGTACAGTATGCTAAAACTGACCTTAATGTATGAGTGTGAATGAGTGTGTATGGATGTTTCCCAGTGAAGGGTTGCAGTTGGAAGGGCCTCCGCTGTGTAAAACATATGCTGGATAAGCTGGCAGTTCATTCCGCTTTGGTGACCCCAGATTAATAGAGGGTCTAAGCCAAAAAGAAAATTAATGAATGAAGAATGAATTTTTTTTTTCTCAGATAACTCAGTCAAACAAAGACATTAAAATGGATGAGAGCTATCTCTGTAAACAGAAACGTATGCCTTGAAGGGTTAAAATACAAAAAGCATTCTGAGTTTGTTAAACGAATGGTCAGTTCATGAGTCTAAATGGAAATTGACATAACAAATATAATGGTTGCACAAAAAAAAGGTAAAATGTAACTGTTTAACTCTATGAAAATGGTAAAAAGAGTCTATTTTCAACAAAAAATGTTGCGATTCTTTAAAAACAGAGACATTGCTTAAACATGAACGCATATCTTGAACAAATATAACAAGTATTTGATCAAAATGAATCCAAGACTGCACAGTTCCATTAAATGAGGGATCCTCTTCCAGTCTTGGATATTCCTAGTCAAAAGTGAATCCATGGGTTCATCTTAAACACATAAAGGGTCTCTTGCATAACTGGCTGGGCAGGCTGAAGCGGTCCTGCTGTTTACTGCCCAGGGAACAGCAGGCAGAAACTGCAGCCCATTTATGTAATCACCACTTCAGTTTTCTTTCTGCCGGCCCCAGAGAAAGACCCAGGCTTACACAATGCCTCAAAACAACACTCTTCCTCTCTCTCATTCTGTCTCTTCCTGTGTCTTTCAAATTCTCTGACAAAACCGGCACAGGAGCTTTGATATTAGTCAGGAGATAAGTGTAAAACCCAGAGAGATAAATGACACAGAATGGGACAGCAGGGGAAAAAAAAACTAAAATAAAAAGCCCTGAAGGATGCATTTATCATCTCATGACATTTCATGAGTGAGCGTTCACAAATGTAAGACTACAATAGAGACAAGTTACATAAGTACTGTATGCAAGCTCCTTCTTGCCTCAGGTGCATGTGCATTAACTCATCCTCATCACAGTATGCCAGGGAAATTTGACGTTGGCTCAGTAGACATGGAGAAGCTTCCGCATTACAGTGTTACTCATTCGAAGTCTGTTTCTATAAATCCACAACGGCACAATGTGGATGCAAACAGCTCAGAAGCAGAATGTGATGTGTCATAATGTCCCTCACAGCACTGATGCACACATAGCATTGGCTCAAACTTAAAGGGACAGTCCACTCTAAAATTCTTTCAGCAGAACATTAAAGAAGATACTCAATGTTGGAGTTCAGTTGACTTTCGTTTTATGGACAAAAATATACATCTTCTTTTGTGTTAGACAGAATCAAGGCCATTTTTGTTTGGAAAGATACAGTACGGGTGATAAACATAATGGAACTTTCATTTCAGGTGAACTAATCCTTAAAAGTAATAAATTCCTTACACTTCTGTAGAATCGTATCAGCAGCAGTGGTGTAAAGTAACAAATTACAAATGCTCAAACTACTGTAATTGAGTAGTTTGTCTCAGGTATTGTAATTTACTTCGTAGCTTTAAAAATGTGTACTTTTACTTCCCCTTGAGTTTTTATTCAAGGTTTTTAGTGCTGTATCAGTACTTTTACTCTACTACTTTACTACTCTACTACTACTCTACTACTTTCCTTCTAAATGCAGTCACTTTAGTTCATTCTTGTCTATGGTGATTGGCTAAAGTAGAAAAATCAGTTCTGCGATTCCTTTCCAGTCAAATCACACATAGAAAGTAAATCGCATCAAACTGAACAACCTCAAGACAAGTGTGACAAGGGTGTAAATGCTTATGTACATGTGATTTTTCAGGTTTTTTTTATTTTTAATAAATTTGCAACAATTTAAAAAAAAATCTTTTTTTACATTGTCATTTTGGGATATAGTGTGTGTTATTCCAATAGATTTTGGGAAAAGGCTGTGACAAAAAAAAAAAACTAAAAAAAATGCGGAAAAAGGGAAACGCTATGTATATGTTCCGGATACACTGTACCTGTATAGCAGATAGTAAATAGGTCACAAAAACTCACATTATTAACTCACTAATTATTTTGATTAACTTACAGTAGAATCAATGCATTATGAATCGTTTCTAAATCCTTCTGGAAGATCCAAAACTTAACATAATCAAATAAATGATTGAACACAAAGTTATTCACCCTCACATTCAGGCAATGTCTGTAGAAGATGCAAATGATGCAGCCTTCATAACTATGATATGACATTTACATTTTAATAGCTTTGAATTTTGAAGACTTAATTACAATGAGAGAATTAGCCTTAAGAGCCAAGACATTTGGTAGCAGCGAGAACGAAAGAGAGAGAGAGAGAGAGAGAGAGAGAGAGAGAGAGAGAAAGGGGTGTTCAGTTACACATTAGTTTAATCAGGAAGACACTCTACAGTACGTTACCTTGCTACAAAGTGCCTTTGATGTACAATTACCCAAATTACAGTATGGAAAAATGAGAAGGGAGGGTGGGTTTACTTTAGGGACAGAGCACACTATTATTTTATCAGTAAGCCGTGTTACAAAAGACTTTGAGCTGTATGAGTGAAGTATATGAAAACGTGAGAGAGAAGCCTGTGCTCCCAATAATGCTAAGCAGTGAAACATGAGAGCACTGCATCTCCATTTCATAAAGTGAACATGCTAATGGGTTTAACAGACACAACTCAAATCTTCATCTCTACTTTCAACTTTTTTTGGAGACGTCTAAAGGCTGAACAATCACAATTGTGCTAATTCCACAAATAGTTGTAAATAGTGTAAAGAGGTTCATTCGATTTTTTCCTTTATTCTTTGTGAGTCTTTCTATGGCATCCCTACAAAACCATCCTTTTTCGGGACCTTGATATTGAAGAGCGGATTCAATATAGTAAATCTATTAATTATGGCTAAAAACCAATCAAAATATTTTATGTAAATATACTATAAAAAAATAAACATTAAATAAAATATGTTTTCTTAAAAAAAGCTACAACTACATTTGTCAAATTAAAATGTTCAAAAAGAAACAGGTAAATCTTTATTATTTTAAAATTACAATTAGCAAATCAATTTATTTACATTGAATAAAGAATGTGTATAGAATAATATTAACAACACAAAATTGAATATATATATATATATATATATATATATATATATATATATATATATATAGTTGAAGTCAGAATTATTAGCAACCCCCCACCCCCACAGATTTAATAACTCAATTCTAATAACTGATTTAATTTATCTTTGCCATGATGACAGTAAATAATATTTAGAGTATTTAGGCAAGTTATTGTATATCGATGGTTTGTTCTGTAGACTATCAGAAAAAATATAGCTTAAAAGAGCTAATAATTTTTTCCTTAAAATGGTGTTCAAAATTTTTTTTAAAAGACTTTCTTCAGAAGACAAAAACATTATCAGATATGCTGTAAAAACTTCCTTGATCTGTTAAACATCATTTGAGACATATTTAAAAAGAAGAAAAAATTAATTAATTTATATATATATATATATATAAATATATATATATATATATATAGAGAGAGAGAGAGAGATAGAAAGAGTGAGCAAAAAGACGTGTTTAAAAAATATAGAGAACAAAATAGATATAAAAATGTAAAAAAGCTAATTAATGACACTTATTTTATGTGAAAGTCTCATTAATATTTAATGAGAGCATATAAATAAAAAATCAAGGATATTTTATTTTATCTTTCTGAAGCATCATGTGTCAACGACTTCTGGATTAATGACTGCTGGAAATATAGCATTGACATGACTGGAATAATTTGTGTTTTAAAATATAGTTGAAAAGAAAACAGCTATTTTAAATTGCATTTCAAAACATTACTGCTCTTTGTGTTCCGTTTGTTTTATGAGATGAAAGCAGCCGTAGTGAGCTTCATTCACCACCATCTTGACATAATGACTAAACTGCACACACAAACAATCTAAAGCACAAACTAGCGAGCTAGATACCCAACTAACTGACTAACTAATCATCCAAACTGCCAAGCATCTAACTTTTTATACATTCCTATTAATCTCTGCACTGCTGTAACCCATTAAACCTCTCAATCAATCGGAATGAACCGCCAACTTATCCAGCATATGTTTTACACAGCAGATTCCCTTCCAGCTGCAACCCAATACTGGGAAACAACCATACACTCTCATTCTCTCTCTCTCTCTCTCTCTCTCTCTCTCACACACACACACACACACACACACACACACACACACACACACACACACACACACATACTACGGCTGATTTAGTTCATTCAATTCACCCATAGCACAGGTCTTTAGACTGTGCGGGACACTGAAGAAACCCCAAATGAACACAAGAACATGCAAACTCCACACAGAAATGCCAACTGACCCAGCCAGGACTTCAATCAACAAACTTTTTGCTGTGAGGCGACAGTGCTAACCCCTGAGCCAAAGTCTCACCTTGATGAAAAGTGTAGACTTTTAAAATAAATATTAATAAACCATAAAACAAAAAACTAACGATTACAGGTCCAACATAAAAAATATATTGCTACTGTAAATAAAATGTAATATCTAAACATCATACTCTCAGGATTGCAACTTTCTCAAGATGCTGTTATCCATGTTTCTCTCTGCATCCGCGTAATGATGTGTAATATTTTGCTAATAAAAATTATGAAAAAGTGTTATCATATGCAATGTATTTTGTGACGCCACAAAATTAACAATAGAACATAATATGAAACAATTTCTTTTTTTATTTTGTCTATATGATACATACTGTCATATTGCACAGTCCTAAACGACAGCAATTTAAAGTCAGAACAGCGGGGAGCAAAATGCAACACGTCCTCCTCTCACCTACCTATATTTCATGCCAGTTTTCAAGCAGTGGTCTCCAGCGGAGGGCATGTTCTGCACAGACAACTGGCCCAAACTGCGGGCCACCATCGCCACAGCCCGAAACTTGCTTTTTGTCCCCAAACTCGGGCTGTTGGTGTTCTGGCGGTTCAGTCGGTCCTCTGTGCTCCGGCTGACGGCTCGATGGTCCGTGCACACAAAAGACACCTGCATGCTGATGCCGAGCCAACCAAACCACTTCAAAGATGCTGATGATACAAGCAAGAACTAGTCCAAAAATCTCCCAGCAGTACCAAAGTGTCTTTCTGCCCCAAGTGCCAAATAAACTTGAAGAAAACACTGCTAAAAAAGGTCAAAATGGATGTGGAAGCTGTCAAAAAGCTGAATGCAGCCCTCTGTTTGAACCAGAAGTGCAGATTTCGCTCTGAAGTGAGAATGCCTGAGAGTGTATCTGTCCATGTGGCGTCTGTGTGAAGTGTGTGTAAGTAAGTGTTTCATGTGTATGTGTGTCAGTGAATTCCTGCGCTGTGGCTCCAGGGCAGCAGTGAGTCTGTGAAGCGGTGAACTCTGGGCACCAATCACATCCACACACAGAGAACAGGGGAGAAATCCCACATCCATCCACGTCACACTGCAGCACATCAAGCGCACGCTTATCTGCTCTCCTCTGCTCTTCTCTGTCTGCGCTGCTTTCCACACTTTTTTTGCTATTCGCTTGCTTGATTCTTGTCCGGCCAATCTGTCAATTCCTAATGTTAACTAGGAGTGAGTTTTCTTGGTTTTCGGTTTACAGTACATCCACTAATGTTTCCAACTGTGTGCTGAGCAAATGCATAAATGCTAAGTGAGAGAGAGAGAGAGAGTATATAAAACATCATAGTAAGAGGAGTGTGCAAGTGAGAGAGAGAAAGAGAGAGAGAGGATACTAGTAGAGAGAAAGTGGGAAGGTCTAAGCTCACGCTATGTTGTGTTGGATCAGCTCGTACCTGATATTCCACACTGCCTACGCATAACAGAATGTCTGAGGACAAGCACAAGTCTGGTTTGAGACTTGTTAAAAGAGTTGTTAATAACAAATGTGGTCATTTCAGATTATTTTTCTATTTCAAGTATTTTCGCATGAGTAGACTTTCGTGCACATGGCTGCTGCAGTCTGTGAGTGTAGGAATTAAATAATGACTATCATGCAGTCTGACTGACCATTAACAATCATGGCAAATATTTGAGTATGCAGATTGCTTGCTAGCCTTCATTGCTGACGACTAGATCTTGTGCAGAAGGCTTGAATTTCATCTAGTAATTTTAATCTCATGAATATGAAATTGTCTTGCCTAAAAGTGTATTTGAAATTATTCTGGATTACACAGGATCCTAATTTTTGGATGGATGGATGAATGGATGGATGGAATGCTAGGCAGACAAAAATAGAATTGCAAATAGAAAGATGGACTGAAAGGTAGAACAATTGAGAGATGAATTAATGGGTGGATGGATGGATGAATGGATGGATAGATGGATGGATGGATGGGTAGGTAAGACAGATGGTGGATGGATGGATGGATGGGTAGGTACGACAGATGATGGATGGATGGATGGATGGATGGATGGATGGGTAGGTAAGACAGTTGATGGATGGATGGATGGATGGATGGATGGATGGATGGATGGATGGATGGATGGATGGGTAGGTAAGACAGTTGATGGATGGATGGATGGATGGATGGATGGATAGATGAAATGCTAGGCAGAAAAAAATATTTAGAATTACAAATATAAATATGGAGTGGTAGGTGGAACAAATGAGAGCTGAATGAATTAATAAATAGTTGGATGGATGGATGGATGGATGGTTAGGTAAGACAAATGATGGATGGATGGATGGATGGATGGATGGATGGATGGATGGGTAGGTAAGACAGATGGATGGATGGATGGATGGATGGATGGATGGATGGATGGATGGATGGATGGATGGATGGATGGATGGATGGATAGATGGATGGATGGATGGGTAGGTAAGACAGTGGATAGAAGGATGGATGGATAGATGGATAGATGGGATGCTAGGCAGAAAAAAATAGAATTACAAAAATGTACTGAAAGGTAGAACAAATGAGAAATGAATGAATGAATGGGTGGATGGGTGGATGGATGGATGGATGGATGGATGGATGGATGGGTAAATAAACAGATGATGGATGGATGGATGGGTAGGTAAGACAGATGATGGATGGATGGATGAATGGGTAGATGGATGGATGGTTAGGTAACACAGTTGATGGATGGATGGATAGAATGGTAGACAGAGAAAACAATGGAATTACAAATAGAAAGATGGACCAATAGGTGGAACAAATAAGAGATAGGTGGATGGATGGATGGATGGATGGATGGATGGATGGATAAAATGCTAGGCAGAAAAAAACTATAGAATTACAAATATAAATATGGAGTGGTAGGTGGAACAAATGATATATGAATGAATGAATAAATGGATGGATGGATGGATGGATGGATGAATGGATGGGTAGGTAAGACAGATGATTGATGGATGGATAGATGGATGGATGGAAAGATGAATGGATGGATGGGTGGGTAAGACAGATGGATGTATGTATGTATGGATGGATGGATGTATGGGTAGGTAAGACAGTGGATGGATGGATGCATTGATGGATGGATGGAATGCTAGGTAGAAAAAAATAGTATTACAAATAGAAAGATGGAATGAAAGGTAGAACAATTGAGAGATGAATGAATGAATGGATGGATGGATAGGTAAGACAGATGATGGATGGATGGATGGGTAGGGAAGTGAGATGACGAATGGATGGATGGATGGATAGATGGATGGGTAGGTGGGTAAGACAGTGGATGAATGGATGGATGGATGGATGGATGGATGGGTAGGTAGGTAAGACAGTGGATGAATGGATGGATAGATGAAGGAATGGATGGATGGCTGGACGGAATGCTAGGCAGAGAAAAAAATGGAATTACAAATAGAAAGATGGACAGATAGGTGGAATAAAAAAGAGATGGATGGATGGATGGATGAATGGATGGATGGATGGATGGATAGATGGATGGATCAATAGATGGCTGGACGGAATGCTAGGCAGAAAAAACAATGGAATTACAAATAGAAAGATGGACCGATAGGTGGAACAAATGAGAGATGGATGGATGGATGAATGAATGTATGGACCGAATGCTAGGCAGAAACAAAACAATGTAATTACAAATAGAAAGATGGGCAGATAGATGAAATAAATGAGAGATGGATGAATGAATGGGTGGGTAAGCAGTGGATGGATGGATGGATGGATGAATGGATTGCTAGGCAGACAAAACAATGAACTAAATAGAATAAAAAAATAGAAAGGTGGACAATGAGATGAATAAACAGATCAATGGCAAAATATAAGGATAGATGGTCAGATAGATAGATGGAAAAATGAGACTGATAGATGGAAAAATATTCAGACAGGTAGACAGACAGACTACAGATATATAGATAGATAGAATGAAATTCTTATAGATTTAATTAATAGTATAACTAAATAATTGACACATTTTGTTTCTCTGTTGTTCAAATTGTCATACTACACACAGCAGTGGCGTTTAAATGTAGAATGACACTAGTAGCTTGAGGACACACAAAATTAACAAAGAAAAAAAACTTGGCAATGATATGTCAGTTGAACAAAGCCATTTCTGCATCCTTGAACCAGTTTTAAAATGTCAAAGAAATGTCTGAAATCACAAGACACACACTGTAAGTCAGTGCAGAAACTGATAAATAAATAAAAGATCATAAAAAGAACATTTCTCCAGTCAGAGCCTTAACTACCATGGCTATCGCGAGCGTGTCTTTGAATGTGCGTCCTGCAGACCGTAAACATTGAGATGAGCTCTCTTATAATCTGACACACAAATGACACACACTATTCCCGCATCTCGAGCACATTACTGCACCCAGGCTTCCTAAAGCGCCTCATAAAACCACTGAGTGATGGAGCGACTGCCTGGTTTTCATGCACTTGGGATTAGAGGAATGTGTGTCATCCCACCTCCAGATGAAAGAAAGTGGACAGACGGCTTAAGTGAACGTACAGAGTTTCCTGAATGGCACTTTGACATGCGCTAGCCTCAGGACAAAGACTCTGCCAGCAGGCTCCAGCAAAGCAGCGGCCCATTTAAATCAGCCAGGCAGACAGAAAAACTCGGCCATCTTTCATCATGCTGCATCTAGAGAGAGGGAACTGACAGGAAACCAACACTTGAGATTTTTTTAAACTGCATGTCTTTGAATATGTAAACTACAACATGCTGGTAACCAGCGTCACCCCATATGACACTGCAGATGGAGCTGCTAGATCCACAATCACAGGCACGCTGAAATATTATGCAAATGTTGGAAATGTAAACCTAAGCTGACATGGTCTCACACATATGAAAAGAAAAAATGCCTACAGGGAAACCTTTCATATACATTTCTTATCATGATAAAATAAAGTCATATTTCAAAATGTCATTCATTCATTTTGCTTTGGCTTAGTCCCTAATTTATCAGGCCTTGCCACAGTAAAATGAATCTCCAACTACTCTGCCATTAGTTTTACGCAGTGGATGCACTTCCAGCAGCAACCCAGTGAAGTGGAACTTCACAGTATAATCAGCCAATGTTTTTTTTATTACTTTTAGAAACGATTGTTTGATTGGTTACTTTCAAAAGGAAAGCCTTATTGCACTGGCTTCCTATAAAATTCAGAGTTGATTTTAAAGTCCTTCTTTTCACATATAAAGCTTGCACAATTCTGCCTCTGTTTATGTCAGTGAGATTTTAGGCCATATACAGCTTGTAGACCATTAAGATCCCATTATCAGTTTCTTTGTCGATCCCTCGGTCTTGCTGCAAATCAAAAGTTGAGCTTTCTGTGTTGCGGCCCCAAGGGTCTGGAACAGTCTCCTGTTGAACATCAGGACTTCTTCTTGGATACTTTTAAATCTAACTTAGACTTATTTTTACTCCCTTGCCTTTGAGTGACTCATACATGTAATTTCTTATCTGTATTTTAGTATTACATATATATTTCCTTTTCTTACATGTTTAATACAAGTTTTGTTTTAAATTCTTAAATATTTTATTTCATTTTAAAGTACTTTGAATCAACTACGGTTGTATAAAATTGTGCTCTATAAAGAAAGTTTGCCTTGCCTATGATTTGTATCACCATTTGATTTTCTCAAGATTTTCTTGTTGTTGTAACAAAATTATATTGAAGATATTTTACAGTAAAAGCTATTACTGTATAATTGTCACGGTCACACATTTAAGACAAGGATGGTTCTCGTTTCATCGATTTATTCAAACACACGGTGGATTATTCAACAGGTAAAGCTGGTAAGTGATATTCTTTTATGGAGGACAGACTAGTATGTTGTTCACAATGTAAACAAGGATCTTCATGCAACCATCTGAATATAAAGTCACTTCCCTTAATC